GATTTGGAAATTTGAGAATTTGGAAATAGAGAGATTTGGAAATTTGAGAGTTTGGAAATTCGTAATTTATTTCAAGGAAAGAAATATAAAAGATATAAGATTTAAAGAGGTTATGTTTGATTAGTTTACGAAGAGTTGCAGTTTAAAAATATTATAAAACTAGTTACATTTGATGTTGTTTTTATGAAAGGAAATTGAAATATTTTATTTGTTTAGGTATATGAAAAATATAAACAAAAATCATACATAATTGACTATTTTATGTATAGTACACCATCAACTGAAAGCATGAGATCAATTTTATTATACTTTTATAATACCTTGATACTATTTAAATAGTTTAAAAGAAATTTTGAATTTCTCATAAAAAAAAAGTTTTGCAAATTTTTAATCAGAAAGTACATTTTTAAAATTATTTTTTTCTCTTGAAATTCAACAGGCATTAAATAATATTTAATTAAACAATTTAAGAAATTTTATGTAAATTTCTATACAGACTTTATAATGTACTGTTTCAAAAATATAAAATTGCACAAATTATTAAAAAAAGAATTAAATAAAAATTTCAAGAAGCTTCAAAATTTATTGCTTGAAATTTTCAAACAGTAGTCTAAGATTCTCATCAATTTTCATTCGTAAAAATAATAATTATCAATGATATTTAATAAAATTATTAATCATCAATATAAATAATCATCAGTTAAATAAATTATGTAAACTTCGTTATATAAAGTATTAACTCAATAAATTTGATGTGATCCCCAAAATATTTTCACAAGTTTTCATTTTCTCCGAACTGCATCTCATACTTTCAGTCAAAATAAATTCAACATGATGCAACATTTTCACCACAAACTCGCCGGAGTCCACAATCGAGGGCAACAATATAAAAACGTCCTGAAAAGAACAAAAGGCGGGCTGAGTCCTTCGATAAAACGAAAATACCAGGATCTTGATAATGGCTGCCTGAAATAGAGTTGCTTGAGCATGCAATCGATTTCGCGTGAGCTTTCATTAGTAATTTTTGCTAGATCATGTTGTACGCATGCGCACGATATCTTTTTCGAAAACTTGTGTATTGCCTTGTTGAGTGCACGACAATCGATCAGTAGCTTCCGGTTGTTTTTTCTCATTCATATTTTTTTTCGCATGCGAGGGGTGTCAGGGTCGGCGATATGGAGAAATAAGGTTAATAATGTGGGGAATTTAAATTATATATATATTAAGGTGGAGTAGAGATACTTTAGTGTGGAGAATTTTGGGAGATGATTTTTTTATTTGAGATTGCGGGATTTCTTAATTTGGAGGTGAGGAAGTAGATAGGGGGTGTTGTCCACATAATGGGGATATGTGGGTATAAGGATATGTAGATTTGGGAATATGTGGATTTGGAGATATGTGGATATAAGGATATGTAGATTTGGGGATATGTGGATTTGGAGATATGTGGATTTGGGGATATGTGGAATTGGGGATATGTGAATTTGAGGATATGTGGATTTGGGGATATGTGGAATTAGGGACATGTGGATTTGGGGATATGTGGATTTGGGGATATGTGGAATTGGGGATATGTGGATTCGGGGATATGTGGAATTAGGGATGTGTGGATTCGGGGATATGTGGATTTGGGGATATATGGATTGGGGGATATGTGGAATTAGAGATATGTGGAATTAGGGATATGTGGAATTAGGGATATGTGGAATTAGGGATATGTGGAATTAGGGATATGTGGAATTAGGGATATGTGGAATTAGGGATATGTGGATTTGGGGATATGTGGATTCGGGGATATGTGGAATTAGAGATATGTGGAATTAGGGATATGTGGAATTAGGGATATGTGGAATTAGGGATGTGTGGATTCATGGATATGTGGAATTGGGGATATGTGGATCAGGGGATATATAAAAGTAACAATATGTGAAAAATGGGGATATGTGGATATAGAGACATAAGAATATGGGAATTTGAGAAATTAGGAATTCCAGAATCAAAATATTTGGTTTTCAACTAAAAATTAGTATTATATCTCAAAAATTTCTAACCACCCATGCAATAAACTTTGAAACATTAAAAACTCCACAAACTGCAACAGCCGGCCCTGCTTCCCGTGTCGAATGTTTATAACTCAAGCAAAGTGCAATTCCATGGTGTTGCTACAAGGATCTCGCTCATTTTTCTCTCTCTGCACGCGCGGCGATATGCAAATACCAAAATATATGGAAATTATGTAAATGAAAATGTATACATATCTCTGCATCCTTGTGGCTTGATGAACATTTTAAATAAAAATGAAACACAGCTTCCGGTTTCTATTTTCCTAAAACCTTTATTTAATTCCGTCATGTCACGCATAAATAAATAACGCAAGATATATCAGAACTTGTAGAAACGACGCCATGGAATTGAATTAAATTAAGTACGAAATATATAATTAGAATTCGTGTGACACATTTTTGGACACGACACGCAATGTTATAGCGATTTTTTCCAGGTCGAAAGTTAACCTGAAAGACTCTTCTATTTTTCAGATACTTCTGTGCCGAAATTAAGCTAGCCTTTTTTAATATTTTTATTAACACGTTGACTGTGGATCAAATCTTGACATTTTTCCTAAATGAAAAGAGGAATGGACTTAGAATAATTTTAATAATATAAAACAAGGTTCATAGTAAACTATGAATATAAATTTGCAAATTAGTAGATCGTACGGCAGTCAGCGCGTTAAATTTTCAGAAACAATTTCTGTCAATTTTTCAGAGATTTCAACAAGAGAAACCTTGACAATAGTTACAAAATATACAGGGTGTCTCACAATTAGTGTAGGTCTCTAAAATGGAGGATAGCTGACAGCTTCGGATAACGCGTAGAAATGTAACGCGCGGTAATTCTACGCGTAGTAATGCAACGTGTGGTAATCCAACGCGTAGTAATCCAACGCGTAGTAACCCAGCGCGCGGATATCCAACGTGTAGTAATCCAGCGCGTGGATATTCAACGCGTAGTAATCCAACGCGCAGTAATGCAACGCGTGGTAATTCTACGCGTAGGAATCTAACGCGTAGTAATCTAACGCGTAGTAATCCAACGCGTAATAATCCAGCGCGTGATAATTCTACGCGTAGCAATGCAACGTGTGGCAATCTAACGCATAGTAATCCAACGCGTAGTAACCCAGCGTGCGGGTATTCAACGCATAGTAATCCAACGCGCAGTAATGCAACGCGTGGTAATTCTACGCGTAGGAATCTAACGCGTGGTAATCCAACGCGTAGCTAATCAACGCGTAGTAATCCAACGCGTAACAATCCAGCGCGTGGTAATTCTACGCGTAGCAATGCAACGTGTGGTAATCCAA